TTAGGCTTTTTTTTTTATTGGTCCGACATCTTTTCTTTCTTTTTATTATAAATAGAACTTCCATCCGTTAAAAAAAATTTGGCAGCGCTTAACTTAAGTTAATAACGTTAATGCTAATTGACGTGAAGTTGACGTTGAATTGAAAAAATTAACGTTAAAGTTAACGTTAACTACTCTATTATACACAACACAATCATTTTTGTAACACTTGAAATTTCCTTTTTTTTCGAAAAATTCCTTATGAAAAATGACCGAAAATCCCCTTTTTAAAGCTAAATACGTCGTACTAAATTAAATTCGTCATATTCTTTGTTTGTTAAAAAAAATAAAAATAAAAAAATCAACTATTATTATGCATGATGAAACTATAATAATAAAAATAATAAACTATGAAAAAGATCACTTATCTACTTTTCCTTTGAAATTATTGGTCACATCTAATTGATCAAATCGAGATCGATCATGTTATATATGGGACAAAAAAATTTTTAGATATAAAAAAATTTTAAAAAAAAGTGTAATTCAAAATTTTTAAAATGACTAGTAACGAAAATGAAAATCATATTAAAGACTTGGAGTTTTCCGAAGCTTTACATGACCATAAAAACGAACGATTAAGTTTTATTTCAAAAGCTATTTCAAAAGATAAAGCTGCGTATGAAAGTGTTGTTAATAATTATATGAATTATTGGGCAGGAAAGGACCCAATGACGGAAAGCGAAAATGATAAAGAAGCCAGAAAATCTAATTATACAAATTTAACAAATTCTTATTATAATATTGCTACTGATTTTTATGAGGTAAACATTTCAATTTGACAATTTGATAAAGATTGATACTAACACTTATCTTTATTATTATTTAATTTAATTAGTATGGTTGGGGTGATTGTTTTCATTTCTGTCGTTTCTATCCGGGAGAAACTTTTTATCAAGCAATTGCACGTCATGAACATTATTTGGCAATGCAATTGAATGTGAAGCCAGGAATGAAAATTTTGGATGTAGGTTGTGGAGTTGGTAAGCAATTGTATATCTTATTTGAGAAAAGTCATTATGGATATATAAAAGGATATTTATGTATTTATGTATTACACAGGTGGTCCAGCAAGAGAAATTTGTCATTTTACAGGTGCCCACATAACTGGCATCAACAATAATGATTATCAAATTCTTCGTGCAAAAAACTATGCAGAAAAGGTCGGATTAAATGATAAAACAGGTTTTGTTAAGGGTGATTTTATGTGTATGCCATTTGAAGATAATAGCTTTGATGCTGTCTATGCAATAGAAGCTACATGTCATGCACCAAAATTAGAAGGTGTGTATGGTGAAGTGTTCCGTGTTTTGAAGCCTGGTGGTACATTTGCTTTTTATGAATGGTGTTTGACTGATAATTATGATTCCACAAATCCTGAACATAGAAGAATTGTTCGTGGAATTGAGGTACATATTAATAATAATTAATGATTTGCTAGCTGATTAATTGGCTATTAATAAGAAATGAAAAAATAATAATATTTATTCCATATTTTATTAGTATGCTAATGGTATACCAGAGCTGTTTTCAAGCAGTCATGCAGAACAAGCTCTCAAAAATGTAGGATTTGAACTTGTTTTATCCAAAGATTTGGCTGATAATGATGACCCTATTGCTTGGTACTATCCTTTAGAAGGAGATCCTAGAAAAGCACAAACTTTTTGGGATTTTTTTACAATTTTTAGAATGACTAAATTGGGAAAATTTTTTACAAGATCATTTGTATGTTGTTTTCTTTATATTTTATAACTTTTTATAATCAAGATTGTTTATTGATTTTTTTAAAATTAATTATAGGTTTCTACACTTGAAAAAACAGGCATAATGCCTAAAGGAACGCTTCAAACACAATATGTGTTGGAAACAGCTGGTGATAGTTTGGTTGAAGGTGGTTATAAAAAGATATTTACTCCAATGCATTTGATGACTTGCAAAAAACCATTAAAATAACTTTTATACTAAATGTATTTTAATACATATTTATGGATAATTATTTAATTATTTAATTATTTACATCAAATAAATAAGATTCTCAATATGTGTGTGGAATTATACAAAAACTTAGATAGTGGTGTATTTTATCATGATATATTATTCTTATTTGTAATTCACCAATTCGCAAAATTCAAACACTTTTGCCACCAATAACTTCAATTTTTTTTTATTTTTGAAATCAGGAAAACCATCAATCATATATTCCTATTGCTTTGACTATGACTTATAATAATCATGATTGGAAAATTGACATTTCAGACCTGGTTTCATTAATAAAATCACAGCAAATCTATTTTTTTTCATAATAAGACCCTAATTATTTATTGAATTAATTTGTTGATCTGTATTCTTGGCTTCTTGTGTAGTTTCTACCTCTTGACTTGTAAAAATATCAATTGTATTTGGTAAATGAACTACTTTTGTTAATGTTTTAGTTACTCCTCACATTTTATCTGTTTTTAAATAATTATCTATTCCCCTTCCAACATTTCATCTTTTTAAAATGCTCTTGATTGATATAGTTGAAGTAAAAATCTGCTATTGGTGAATCACTTACATATTCAGTTTTAATTTCTGGGTCATATGAGTTTTTAAAATGTCTAGTTTCATAGCATTTGAAAACCTTATACTTTGGATCAAAAAAAGATAGTCTAATATAACCTTCATTAACCTTCCTCTTAAAATCTCCTTAAATGATTTGTACTCTTGTCATTCCAACATAATATGATTTCCCAAAATATATAATAGGATTGTACCATTTTTTGGGAGGTACATTTTTAGTTATTTGTCTTTTTATTTGTCTTGTAGAAAATATTCTTAGAAATAGGATGCCCCTTTTTCATTATTAGAAGTTAATGGTATTAAAAACATAATGTCCACTATTAAGTGTCATTCTTGTTGTAACTTTACACAGAGTTATAGAACCTACAGTTTCATATATTGACTTATGAATTCAATATTTACAATTCTAAGACAAATAAAACCTATTGTAACCTTTTCAGTTCTGTTTTAAAGTTATTGTCATTGTATCTTTGTATCAGAGTAACTACTAAAGTAGTTGGTTTGTGAACTAATATAGAATACTGTGGGTTTTCATAAAAAGTATTTGCATTATTTATACATCCACCAGCTGTTGTTCTTAATAGACCATCTACTATGTAATATTGTACCATATCAATGTTTCCATAATGTAAAATATGATGTATTGAGATGACAACAAATTATTAATTTTTTGTAAAATCTTTGACTAAATAAATAAATACTTATTATTAAAACTAGGAAATTTATTAAATATAAAAACATTATATAAATTAATTGATTACCATTCAAAATCACCATCTTCTGCAATTTTAAACCTTTTGGAGTACAATTTTTTGTCATTCTGATGAATTGTCAGACCCGTCTACTATTCCATTCAATTTCACCCCATGGATTATGTAATTTTATAAGAACAATTTCTTTATTTCTTTTAAACATATTTGGTTTTATATTGCCATTCCTATAATTCCATACACATACTAATTAGTAAAATTTTACAGGATAAATTTTTTTAATTATTCATTATCTCATAAATAAATAAACAAGTGTATATTAATAAATATATCTAAATTATTTTAAAATTACCCCAATCACTAATCTGTTTGGTGATCTTTCTTGCTTTATTTCACCTTCAAGAGCATTAATAGAGCAACTCATTAATACACCTGTATTATTAGCAAGTTGCAACATTGCTGTGAATTTTTTATCACCCATTTGTTTTAAAACATCATCATGGCAACCAACATCAATATCAGATTTTTAATTCAATTGTTCCAGGAACAGTTCCAATCAAATCAACTAATGCATCCGAAGCAGATCCTGCTTCTAGTGCCTCATAACATTTACATAATTTTGCGTAGGCTTTCTCTAAAAGAGAACACCACATCTCGTTTGGATATTAAAATGAGAAAATATTAGACAATTATTTCTTGTGAGAAGATAAATCATCTACAACTACTTCAATCCCAAACCAATAAAAATGAAATCTAAATATACCTATTATAAAAATAAAAATATAATAAACAATATTGTAATAATCAACTAGCACAATAATTAATTTACTTGAATGGCATTCAGTACCTCGAAAATTATATACACTCAATTGTTTTCCAGGTTCGTCACTATGACACCAATCTTGATCAATCCAATTAGGTACAACTTTATGAAGTAAATTTGGATGAGTAGCCAAAATACTCAATGCTTATTCTGACCAAGAACTACTATCAATGTTACTTTAATAATAATACTATTGTTGTTGTTGAATTATTAAATTTTAATTATAATACTTAAAATTTTGATTTTTACTTATTCAATACATCGGTATTTAAATTTCCATTGTTGAGGATAAATAAGTGTGTATTTTTTGAAAGTTCTTAATGATAATAGTATCAATTGAAAAACTATTAAAACTATCAATTTATTACCTTACATTTTTTCCAATCTACTGGTTGATGAGTCGATTTTGAAAGATTTGGTCTTAATTTCTAGATTGAAGAATCATTGAGTGGAAAAGTAACATCTTGAAAATGTGTATCTGTCCTTGCGTGATTTAAAAAGAATTTTTATAGTTGACCAAAAAGTTTTTTATATTGGGTGCCATTGGATATTATTTTAATAAGAGAGTTATTATTTATAATCCCTAGCCCATTTTGTATATTTTTTTAACACAACTAATTATTTCATTAGTTAGCATTAATTCACAAATCTTTTGATAACAGTCCTCGGACATGTCCGAGATATTTATTATGAAAAAAGATTGTTTCATTCATTAATGTGATCACTAAAGCCACAATAAATTTTAATTAATACTATATAACTATCTATTACTATATACAGAAAACACATATATCGAAGAAAAACATATATAAAGAACATTAAACCGTTCCGAAAGTTTTGAGGGTGCTTTCTAGTGCTTGTAAATGCTTGCTAAAAATTTTGGCTAAGCAAAGAAACGACATATTTCCCGTGTTACAAATTTTTGCAAAATTAAAAAGTTAGATAATTCTTTTCTTGCGTTAAATTGATATTAATATATAATATTGCATGCAATATTTTAATCATAAAACAAATATATTATTCTCTCTCATGATCTTGATTATTAGTACCTGGAATATTTTTATCGCCTAATTTTAAATAATAAATTATCTTGAATAAACGTAATATTAATGTAAACATTTATTTCTAGAAAATATATCTTATACCTTTCTTTGATACTTTTTTTGGCAACAAGTTTTGATAGATGTTTGGCAAAACACCTCCTTGCGCAATTGTGACTTGACCAAGTAATTTATTTAATTCCTCATCATTACGAATTGCCAGTTGTAGATGACGGGGAATGATTCTTGACTTTTTATTATCACGGGCAGCGTTTCCTGCCAGCTCTAAAATTTCAGCTGAAAGGTATTCAAGTACTGCTGCTAAATATACAGGTGCACTTATCTCTAATTTCCGAAAGCGTGCACTTAGAGGGGGTTGACTGTACCTAGGGGCAGTGTAGAAAATTCAATCGGCGCGTATCACGTTACACCAAATTTCCATGTTGCAGATATCTGGATTGACCATCCACAGATTGCATCTCTACATTGAGTTACTAACAAAATTTTGAAATGAGTATCTTCATTAAAGAAAATTTATTAATAAAAATTAATCAAATACA